ATGTTATGTTTTATTATAAATATTAATGTATTATTATTATTAAATATATATACATATATTTATGGGTTATCTATAGCTGGCCAAAAGGCTGGACCAAATTGGCTAAATATTTTGGTGGGAACCCATTATTATAATTATTAGAAGTATTATTATTATTATTATTATTGTTATTATTACATTACTTTATGAAATTTAGAAACCATGTTTAAAGTTTTAAGAATAAAGAATGAGTATATGGTTATTATTGTATTTAACGTGAAACTCTTTTCATGTATATTTAGAGGAATGAATTTTGCTAACGTCATTCTTAATTTACTTTTGTCATTGTTTTTATTTTAATTGTATATTTTAAGTTTTTTTTCCGGAAACCCAGCGGACCATATGCAATTATGCATTGCATATTGACAGAAATTATTATAACGAATATTTGTTGTTTACAAGAGCAAATCAAATACAAGACCTTGCAAAAGTACATCTATACCGCATATAATGCTTTGAAAGAATTTTTATCTACTTATAGGAAATATTATTAATATTATCATGAAATATATAGACCAGGAACCGCCATATCTCATGCGCAAATCTGTGTACTACAGTGGGAGGAGATCAAAACAAAGAATTCAGGGGCAACGCATTATTTTTGAGGGAAAAGGGCCCAAGGGGTGAATAAAAATATATTGCTATTGTATTTTCCATATTGACCAGAAAACCAAAAATCATAAGTATTCGCTCGAACTTGATAAATAAACTTGTTTTTTTGTTGGACTGTAATATCACATTAGAGCTTTATATCTGAGTTGGGCGTTCCTGTATAGTTCCTTGAATATTATTATATGTCCCTGATTTTTTACTTTTAATTTTAGAGAGCAATAAAAATAATATTTTGTTTGACAAAAATCGGAAAAGTAATTTCTTTTTCATGTTTTGGAATTTTTTACAGGTTTTTTATATTTCTATATGCATATTTAGAGAAATGATTATTCAATTTTTTCTCTTAAAAAGATAATTTGTTAACTTCTTCATCATGTTTTATTTTAGTTTTTAGTGGAAAATCTTCTCAACTGATTACAGAAGAAATTAACTATGGAATAGGTAACCCAGTATTTTTATGTTCCTGATTTTTTAGGAGGAAATATTTAAGCTTTCCAAGTGATACAGAGGAGATTTTCCGATATCGAATTTGTCCTCTTTGACTTTATGTTGTGTATTTAGGTTTTTAAATCTTAAGATATTGTGCATATTTTGTTCATTAAGAGATTTCTTGAATTTAATTATCAACAGATTCAAGTTTCTAGACGTACAACAGTGAGAACCAGAAAACCATGGCGACATTTTTACTCAAGTCATTACTTAAAATCTTCAGATAAACTTGAGACACGGCAATTGTAAAGTGTAAACAGACACATTTAACTCAATAAGTGATTTAATAAGTTGTTGCTTTGTTACAACATCAAATACAGACTAAGCCAGGGACTAACAGACACCAAGAAATACATGAAAAGACATTATAAGAACAGATATTTGTTGGCGGTTCGCGCACATGTTCAATTAAGTTACTCATGTCGTTCATTTTAAAGCTCTTAGAAGTACATTTTTTCGTTTTATAAAACTGAATAGAATAAATTGCGCATTTTCAAATGATAGAATTGAGGATTTTCAAAAAAAAAATGACATACAGAAGAATGTTTGAAATTTTTAAACATCCTAAGAAATGGGACCGAGTTCCTTTTTAGTACATTTTAAAAATTAAAACAACATTTTAGAGCAAAAACGACGACCCCACAATTTATAGCCATTTTACCTGGCACTGGTAACACTTTTTAGTATAATAAAACGTTTAGTGGGTAAAATGGGATCGAGCACATTTTCGAATATTTAACAAAATACAACGATGTAAAGTAGTGTAGAAAGCCTCATCACGCGTTTTCCAAAAAAAAATTTATGATTTAGAAACTCGATTTTTCGGCATTTTAATATTTTTGCATTTTAAGTGCTCGATGCTGGTAGCAGTGGGACTAGAGCATATCTATATTATTGGCCGGAACATTCGGGAAACAAGCATGATTTACTCAGGTTTAGTATTTAAAGGGAGTGATCGCGAAAAATGAAAGGGGGTAAAACTATATACAAATGAAAGGGGGTATAAACTGTATACAAATGAATGGGGGTATAAACTATATACAAATGCGTCGAAAAATAATCGATGACTTCTGTTTGTAATATCTGAATGATTTGTTTGAAATTAAATTGATTAGTTTACAATCCGAGTTGAATGTTGCATCTTTCCAAATTTGTATGGACGCTGCGTTCTTCGGTGTGAGTCGTTTTTAACAATTTTCTCCTTATAGACGCAACAGATAGAAGTAAGATTAGAAGTGATCAAAGGCGCTTTTTTATCGCATTAAGCCTATACCTCCTTTCATTTTTCGCGAACACTCCCTTGAAGGGAATATAGGCGTACACTAAGGTGACCCTCCATCTATAAAGTTGCTTGTTTGATTCACAAGGGTATCCTTTAAACTTTTTTCGGATTATTTTTAATTGTGGGTTCTATTCTAAAGTGATTTTTGGAAATATGTTCATAGCTGGGAACTTTAGAATGGTGGATATCGGGACTAATGCTTAATCCACTCTTTCTCTGAATCTCCAGATTAAATATTGCTTGTTCTCCTCATGAATTTAATCTCCAGATTAATTAACAGATCGGGATTAAGGATATCACATTCTAAAGTTTTCAGCTCTGACCTGAAAACTGAAAACTTTAGAATGATGGATATCAAGATAAATGCTTAAACTCCTGGTTTTACTAAACCCGAGATTACTTTAATACGTATTCGATATCCAAAAAAGAAGTAAAAAAATCAACCAATGAGCGTTTCATATTAAGATGTTTGGATTAATGTTTGTTAAGACTAACGTTTAAAATGATGATAGTCCTAAAATGTGATAAAATATATTTTTTAATGAGTTCATATTAACATGATTAAATTTATATTTGCCTAAATGCTCTAAAAGCCGGCTTGTGAACAGCTGACTTTAATTCAATCCAAAAAAAGAGGATTAAGAATAAAATTAAATGTGTGTACATTGGATACTCAGATTAAGCGATCGGAATTAAGGATATCTCATTCTAAAGTTTTCAGTTCAGAATTTACCTCTTTTCAAGATTTACCCTATTGTTACTGAGATAGATGTATGAAAGGTTTAGTCGTTGTCAATCGAAAATGCCACTTTATAGACGTAAGGCGTCAAATTTTCGATGTTAGGTACTTTCCCAAAGGAATTTTTTCCAAGTGGCAACTTTCTAAGCTAGTCCTAACGACAGTGCTCTGCCTCCTATCCTGTTCTAGCTACAGTGCTTGGCCCTCGTTTTACCTTAAAGTCTATTAGTATATATCTGTGCACTTATCTTCAGCTATACTGTCATAAATTATTCATACTCATCGTTCACACAGGACAGGTTTGCCGCTTTAGTTATTGTAAATTGGCGGTACAGTCCAAACTAGGACCGCAAAGGTTAGCCCTGCTCGGATATTCAAATGTACACCGCTTGTGCGTGTGTTGCAGCAGTCATATATTACGGGCACTTTCTCAGTCAGCAGTGCTATGCAGAAAAGCCCTAGAACCTATCATTTCAGCTCTAAGAGGGTTTGGCGCTGTACTCTGCATAGCACTGGTGAGAGAGTTCCCGCACTCATCTGACTGGCGCTACGATGAGTACATAGGTATATTTAAAACAGTGTATCCTCCATAAAGATATATATTTATCCATTATTAATTAATTGATTAATTGTTTAATGTATAAATATATTTTAATTCAGCGGAAACACCTGATACTGCGTTTGAGTACATAAGGCAGGACAAATTTTGATTAATATTAATCTCCTGTGTATAATACTAAATAGAAATTATTTTTACTTTTTCCAGAAAAGTCTATCTTGCTTCTAGTTCTATATTTTCAAACATTTCTTAATGTAAAATAACAGAGCTTTTTAGTTTGCATACTGGTCAAACGACAGAAACAAATTGTAAATATACTAGCTGAAAACTGGGCAATGTCGGGTACTTCAGCAATATATATATATATATATATGTAAATTTATATAATACTATATATCTACATAGATTATATTAATCCTAGTTTTCCCACGAGATCTTTTAATATCTTCTTAATTAACAATGCTCACGCTAATTCTTAATTATTTATTGATTGCATAAGGTTTCTTGTTCTGACTTCACACCCTGATCCAGATACCCGGGTTTAATGGTCATCTCTTCTTTTTCGATCATATTTTTACTTTGTCAACGTAGATTTAACTTTTTAAGTCGTAAATGTTTTATCGGGAAATTCTGAATGACGTATTATATAGGGTGTCCCAAAAAACATGGGTATTCAGTGACGAATTCGATATCGTCTTTGTTATGAATCGACATTGTAATACCTATAATTTCAAAAGCCATAATATTATTATGTGTGCTAGAGTTTATTCTAAAAGAAGGGTAAAAGACTGCAAAGATGTGTCTATAATGTCTCCGCAAGATAAATAGTGAAGGCGGACAAGTTAAATCTGTTTGTATACTGCAATTTTTTTGTTTTACTAAGTACAACCGTATGCAGTCAAAACATAAACAAACAAAGTGTGAACATAGCAGAAGAAACTCTTACAGATTACAGCGTTCTCAGTAGGTATCACTAAACTAAATCAAAGAATTGCTTAAAACGAGGATATCGAATTCGTCACTAAAAAATTCCCCTGTTTATTGGGACACCCTGTATATTAGAATTATATGCGCATATCTAGATGTAATTAGTTTTGCTCGGCCTGAGGATTGTGGAACTGTCATAAACATCATGTTGACAAAATGTAATAGTTTTGATGTATATATAATCTAGATCCTTTATATTCTATATATTCATATCTATATTATCTAATGACGACCTAAATCATCTGATAGCTCGACTTTGTCTTTTGCTTTGATAAAAATTCTGAAATAAAAGTTGCCGTGGAACCAACCAAGAATATAAACGTGAAGCTAAAGTAAAACGTACTTTAAATATAATTCTTTTTTTTCAACCATAACTTCTAAAAGAGTTATTGAAAAGAAAAAAAAATTTAATTGTTTTGAATTTCTATATACGTAACAAAACTTTTTTTCTCCTCTTGTGCATAAAATCCAAGCTAGAGATGCTACGAGGTCACAAAATTGTACCAGTGATGTCGCATAAATTTGACCTTCTCCTGTCTAGTTTGTAATGTATAAAGAAAGAAAGACACGAGAATTCCATACAGTCTGATTCTTTGTGGGTAACCCTGGATACATTAGACTATAGTGTGTAAATACTATATATTTTTTATATTCTTCAACATAGAAAGTCAAACGTCAAAACCGCGGAACCGATCGCGATTCGCTCCCAAGTTTGTTGTCGAAACTCTCATGACCTTGAAAAGTATTGTGAATGTTAAAGATGAAAATAAATGGACCGAAAAAAAATATCGACATGCTTTATTTTTATAAATGCGTAAATTTAAATATATAAATCCGCGAAGCACGATTTTCAAGGGAAAATGTTAACTTTAAGAGTAAAATAGTTACTAGAAAAGGGCGTGAAGCGCCCATGGTCAGCCAATTATCAAAATATCCTGTTTTTACCAGGCCTCTACTTTTGTTTGCTAGAGATAATATACCAGCGGAAAAACATAAGGTAAAAGGATACAAAAAATAAGTAAATGTTTTATAGTCGAGAGAAAGAGAAAAGTTTCCTGATATCAAATTAATAATTTAACCTAAAATATTGACACCATATCCTACAAGAGCGACTATTTTTCAGTCCTAAGTCCTCTTGTTGAAGAGCTGAGAAGAACAAAAAAGTTTTGATTTTTTAAATTGGAAACCTAATGAATTTGCTTTTCTCATTCTCAAAGTTGTGCTTAAAACCAAAACTACTGGAGCTACTGGGTCACAAAGTCGTACCAGTAAAATTGCATAAATTTAACCTTCTCCTTCTGAATATAATTTTCAAAGTAAACCAGGGTCTAGATGTTTCCGGGTTTTTTTTTAATTCTATCACGTTTTGATATATAATTCTATCATGTTTTGATCTTCAATTTTATCACGTTTTGATCTATAATTCTATCACGTTTTGATCTATAATTTTATTACGTTTTAATCTATAATTCTAGTACGTTTTGATCTATAATTTTATCACGTTTTGATCTAGAATTCTATCACGTTTTGATCTATAATTCTATCACGTTTTGATCTATAATTCTATCACGTTTTGATCTAAAATTCTATCACCGAACTTTGAAATCAGCATGTATTGATNGCTGTAAGTTAAAATTGCTGCGTAAAAGCGGAATTTTACCATTTTTAAGTTTTTAATTTTTTATATTTTTTTTCAAAATGTGTATTGAACCGTGTAAAGTATAAAGTGTACAAAAGAGACATCACAAAAAAGCATAAATTTAAAAATTCACCATTAAAAAATATGACACAAATGTTATTTTTTTTAACATGCTTTTAAATTGTATTTGTACACAAAGTTTAGATTATTTATTTTTGCAGATAATTTTTTTTTTCTTTTTTTTTTGGGGGGGGGAGGGGTAGGTTTTAGGTAAGGTGGATTAAATGTAAATGTTTTTCAGATATAATAACACTTCAAAGAATCCTTTCTAAAGTTCTTGCAATAAAGCTTGTTCAAAAATATTTCAAACGGTTTAATATGCGAAGACATTATATATGTTGTACCCCCCCCCCCACTCTTTCTGCATCTGTACAACACTTACGCTTTATGTTTTAAAGGAGTATTGGGCAAAAACTATACAGACTTAAAGATTTATCACAATAAATCATTTGTTTCTCAAAATTTGGCCACAACCGCTTGGCTCCCCTGTTATATTAAGAACAAAATAGATATCTAAATGGTATTATAGGTTATGTTATATTTAGGATAATTTTTCGATGTTATATGTATTGATAGCGTAATGATGTCATATGTTATGATGTTTGTATGGATAACTTAATTAATGATGGTATATTTTATGTTATTTGTTATATTACATGTATGGATGTCATACATATCATCATAAGTCCTATTCTGTAAACCTGAACATACATTGTACTTTATTAGTGGCCTAACTATGCTCGCTGTTAATAAAATGCGCTTGTAAGTAACTATGTAAAACCTGTATCACCATTTTTCTTCACTACGTCTGTAAATAACTATGTAAAACTTGCTATTACGTTGATTAATCTAACCTATCTCATAGAATTCAAAATCTACATTAGTTGGAATAATACTCCACTTTGATTATAGTGTTAGAGTAATTATGCTTTGTGTATTAACGAGAGGGATTGAGTTATATCTTGAAAAACAGAAACCAAAGAATACTGATAGAGTCGTATCCGGTTTGACATAGACGAAAGTATTATTGATCGAAATAGTACTTAATCGAGTTGTATCTTGGAAGACAGATACCCAAAAATAAGGATAGAGTTGTATCCGGTTTGATATTGACTAAAGTATTATTGAACAGAATAGTGCGTGATTGAGTTGTTTCTTGTAAGACAGATACTAATGAATACTGATAAAGTCGTATCCAGTTTAAAATTGACTGAAGTATTATTGAATAGAATAGTTCTTTATTGAGTTGTATCTTGTAAGACAGATACCCAAGAATAATGATAGAGTCATATTCGGTTTGATATTGACTAAAGTAATATTGCACGGAATTGTGCACGATTGAGTTGTATCTTTTAAGACAGATACTAATGAATGCTGATAGGGCCGTATCCGGTTTGATATTGACTAAAGTATTATTGAATGGAATAGTGCGTGATGAGTTTTATCTTGTAAGAAAAATACCAAAGAATACTGATAGAGTTGTATCCGGTTCGATATACCTGAATTGGTACCGATCTAAAAGACTTTGTTAGAGTAAGGCATTTACCACATGGAAAGCTAATTGATGTTATATGTTTAGATGCATGTATGGAAATCCAATTGATATTTTTGTTATGTTATAGGTATGAATGACTGAATGATGTTACATTTTATGTTATATATGTATTGTATAGATAACTAATTGATGCTATATGTATGAATATCTAAATAACATTTCATGGTATGTTATATTTTGGATAACTAGAGTTGAGAGCATGTGATTCCAGGATTAGAATTTGTTTTCTTTCTGAAATTTTTTTAGGAGACCCCATTATATATTCTGGCAACAGCTGGCATGCGGCTTATTGATAAACAACAGCAGGAAAATCAAATCTTTATTCGTCATAGATTTATCAAGGGCTGTACTGTGTACATGGGGGAGGTGGGGGTGGGGGGAGACGCCATAGACGTATTTAGAATCCTATATTATCTTTCTTACAACTGAAGCAATGATATTAAAAAATTGTGATTCCACTTTATAAATCCCTCACATTCAACAAAGAAATTAAGTCTTTGCCACAAACTCTTATTTTCTTATTCTTATATACCAGGTTGCAAAGATGTAAGAATACGAAAATTTGAGTTAGTGGCAAATACTCAATTCCTTTATTAAAGCGATGGGGAGGGAGGGAGGGGGGAGAGTTGATCGTTTCTTTGTATTGATGATATTCAATTTAATTTTGTTTGTGATATTGATTAATTGAAAGGACGCCATTTTGGAGAATTTACGGAAAGGTATAAATGAGAACTTTCAGTTTCACTTTACGGAGGGACATTTAGAGATTATAACAGGTACATTTATGCTTTTATTCAGGGTTCAGGGTACAAGATACATGGTTCAGGATTCAGGGTTCAGGGTACAAGATACATGGTTCAGGATTCAGGGTACAAAGTACAAATGATTCAGGGTACAAAGTACAAGGTGCATGCTTCTCTGCAAATAAAGGGTCACGAGAGATTATTTTTACACTCAATAGTCTACAGTCCCTTTAAGCCTATTTTCTTATAGAATTGGCGTTTTCTTATTTTTTTATTTGGAAATTCCCCATTTTTACACATAAACTTTTAAAATAAAAATTGGAGTTTTTCTATCAGATTTTTTCTGTAAAATTTTTTTTAAAGGGATTAAATATTTTTGAAAAATGAAAAAGATAGCTCAAAGTTTTAAAAATTTAAATAAGTTTTGATTAATATTTTCAGGAGACCGTGCCGAGCTGATAAACGTAGAAAAGGTAGTAATTATATAGATTGTGCAAAGTTGCAGAGACCAAAGTGAAAGGAACTTTGCTTTTAGGACTCTTCGCCCCCCCCCCCCCTCTAGTTACAACTTCAGCTTTAAATTGTTGCTCTTCGAAGTTGCCATTAATACATGGTTATTTACTAAATCCAATTTTTCGCAGATTTATCAGTTTATACTGGTTTTCAGTTTATAATGGTTTTCAGTTTATACTGGTTTTCAGTTTATACTGGTTTTTAGTTTATACTGGTTTTCAGTTTATACTGGTTTTCAGTTTATAATGGTTTTCAGTTTATACTGGTTTTCAGTTTATACTGGTTTTTAGTTTATACTGGTTTTTAGTTTATACTGGTTTTCAGTTGATACTGGTCTAAAATAGTGATGGTCGACCTAAAATTTCAAATTTGACCGTCCACAAACCATCCTTGGGATCATGTGAATTCAGCCAATTTTATGTTTATTGGATACTAACAAACAAACAGACAGACTCCCCATTCCATTCCTTTATTGGAAACCCTGTATAAAAACAGAACAGATATCTGAAAATTTAGAAAATTTTAAATATCTAAAATTTCTTACAACTATTTGGATTTAAATTTTTTTTATGGAAAATTAAATTCCGCAAGAGCATTCAGAATGTTTAATATGACAAGAATAAAAATAATTTTGTTAAGTAGGGATCAGTCGTCATACAATATATCAATTCTTAAATAAGAATAAGTTTAATTGAACACAACTATCATTGTTTTGATAATAAGGGGTTGTCAAAATATTTTGTCTTTTTGAGGACCAGACTGTTTCATAAAATGAATTTAATGTTTTAATATTTTTTGATTGATCGATTGATTTATTGGTTGATTAGTTTATACGTTTATTAATTTATTTGTTGATTGATAGATTGATACGTTTATTGATTGATTGATTGATTGACAGATTATTTGATAATTGATTTGGTATTTTTAAATAGTTCATTAATGTGTTTATTGATTGGGTGCTTGGCTTATTGATTGGTTTATTAATTGGTGAATTGATTGATTGATTTGTTTACTAATTGAATAATTGGTTTTTTGATTGATTAATTAGCTTGTTAATTGATTGATTTTGCTATTTATTGATTGATTCACTGGTTGGTTCAGGGTCCAGGAGGTCGTGATAGTATGGTCCTGAGACCCAGGACGGTTGGTGCACTAGACATGGGTGGAGCAAGTATGCAGGTCAACGCAGTATAGTTGTACAGTACAGTACAGTAAAGTGTACAGCACAGTACAGTAAAGTGTACAGCACAGTACAGTAAATTGTACAGCACAGTACAGTAAAGTGTACAGCACAGTACAGTAAAGTGTACAGTACAGTACAGTAAAGTGTACAGCACAGTACAGTAAAGTGTACAGTTCAGTACAGTAAAGTGTTCAATGCAGTAGAGTATTGTACGATACAGTATAAAATGCAGTACAATATTGTACTGTACAGTGCACAATAAAGTACAGTAATGAACTGCACAATGTACAACGCAGTACAGTAATGAACTGTACAGTGGACAATCCAGTTTAGGAATTTGCTGTACAGTGTACAACCGAATATGGTATTGTGCTGCTTCGTTCAATTTACAAAACTAATTATATACTTGAAAAACATGGAGGACGTAAGTTTTATGTCGCAGATTGGCCTTCAAAATATATAATCTTGTTATAATCATTTTTGCCATAGATAAAACATCGACCTTGTAATTTCTAGATTTTCGTAAATAAAACAGAGACTTTTAATTTATAATTTTTTTTAGATGAAACATCGACCTTATAATTTCTAGATTTTCCTAGATAAAACATCGACCTTGTAATTTCTAGATTTTCCTAAATAAAACATCGACTTTGTAATTTCTAGATTTTCCTAAATAAAACAGAGACTTTTAATTTATAAATTTTCCTAGATAAAACATCGACCTTGTAATTTCTATATTTTCCTAGATAAAACATCGATCTTGTAATTTCTAGATTTTCCTAGATAAAACATCGACCTTGAAATTTCTTGATTTTCCTAAATAAAACATCGACCTTGTATTTTATAGATTTTCCTAGATAAAACATAGACCTTCTAATATCTAGATTGCCCTTGAGATAACCACTAATCTACAGCTGGAAGAAATGCAAGAAAAGGACAAAAATCAGGTTTGGAATATATTTATTACAAATTACGAAAAACATTTATTTATTTCTAAATGTATGTTATGAATGCAATTATTGTGGGTTTCCATTATATCAGACTAGCTCGGGAACCGGAACCCAGCATTGTCCATGAAAACTAAACTATTGCTAAACAAGTTCACGCAAGACCGAATTTAAAGATTTTAAGCCACGGCTTAAATTTGAGACGCGGCTCAAATAGTGTTGGTTGCACTTAAAATGTATTCATTTGAAATCGGTTTTTTGGCGGATTTGAGACGCGGCTCAAACTCATTAAATTCGAACTCCATTCAACTTAGAATTTTTAAACCAAACTATGAACATCCACGTGGTTCTACCGAGTTCACCGGTCAACATTTGAGGCCAACTGGCCGATGGGTTTCTGAGTTATGATTGGACATCCAAATGGACATCATACTACTTTTTATACATAGATATACACATTGTACATGTCGATATGCTGATATGTTATATACTGTGGATTATGTACAGATTGTGGAAATAAACTTGGGATGTACTGATCATGATGTTGAGCACACTTACAGGTTATTAATATTTTTTTTTTATTATTAATTTTTCCGTTTCTTAATCAGTACTGTTTAAAATTTCCCTTATAAATAAAACTCGAAAAAGGATTTAAACGGAGTTAAATAATGCGTAACCAATTTGTTGCTTGGTAAAATTCAATAAATATTCCAGGACTTCCCAATCCCATAACATTGATCGAACTTCCGCGACTTCCCAAAAACTGCATAACAATTCAGCTCATATATCTTGCCTACAATTATAACAAATATGTTGATAATAAAAGGGATTAGTAAAGTTCCTAATAGTTTTCAGTTATCTTATTTCTAGGGTGTTTGTATCTACCTATCTTATTTCTAGGGTGTTTGTATCTTCCTATCTTATTTCTAAGGTGTTTGTATCTACCTATCGTATTTCTAGGGTGTTTGTATCTTCCATATCTTATTTCTAGGGTGTTTGTATCTTCCTATCTTATTCTAGGGTGATTGTATCTACCTATCTTATTTCTACGGTGTTTGTATCTACCTATCTTATTTCTAGGGTGTTTGTATCTACCTATCTTATTCTAGGGTGTTTGTATCTTCCTTATCTTATTTCTAGGGTGTTTGTATCTACCTATCTTATTTCTAGGGACTTTTGTATCTTCCTATCTTATTTCTAGGGTGTTTGTATCTTCCTTATCTTATTTCTAGGGTGTTTGTATCTTCCTTATCTTATTTCTAGGGTGTTTGTATCTACCTATCTCATTTCTAGGGTGTTTGTATCTTCCATATCTTATTTCTAGGGTGTTTGTATCTACCTATCTTATTTCTAGGGTGTTTGTATCTACCTATCTTATTTCTTGGGTGTTAGTATCCACTTATCTTATTTCTAGGGTGTTTGTATCCACTTATCTTATTTCTAGGGTGTTTGTACCTACTTATCTTATTTCTAGGGTGTTTGTATCCACTTATCTTATTTCTAGGGTGTTTGTATCTACCTATCTTGGGTTCGGAGCAAACCAAGCTAAGGAGAGACATGAGAGAACCTTGTTTCTAGGTAATCCAAGGGTTCAACAATATTACAGGAATTCTTAAAAACAAGATTTCATAAAATACAGGGTTTCATGAAATAAAAAGTTTCCTTAAAAACAGGGTTTCTCAAAATGCAGTTTCCTAAAAATACAGGCATTCCTAAAATGCTGCTTTTTTAAAAGGGATTTATAAAACACATGGATTGTAAACTTCGAATCGAGTAACTCTCATTTATAATACGGTGTTAGGCGAAAATATCAATATAATAAAGACGACCTTTTATTTAAGTTTTTATTGTTAACAAACTTGTTCACAAGTAATTAAAGAGAAGCTTTTTTAATTGAAAGCTTCTCTTTGTTTTCATTTTTTTGTGTATCGACGCTGGTTAAATTATAAATCAAAATTGAAATCGAAAGTCGTCTTCATTGTATTGATATAATTGCCCACCACCGTACATTTCATGTCCAAATCACATCAGTACCTTTTAAACCTTCAACATAGCAACAGTTAGGCAGATTTTGTTGATTCCTAGAAGAGAGTGAAACTTTTGTGTAGGATCTCGTGCTAAGTTTAGGATTCCTTAATCTAGGCTTATCCGGAGATTTTGGTAGCTAAACCTTAGCTGCAACTAGGTTATAATGCAAGGGAAAGTTAATTGCAGCTGTGTATACTCTGCGTATATATTGAAAACAGTTCTCTCTGGGCGGAATTTGTTAACAAAAATATATGCATCAGTGTTTTATTTTTATAGTTCACATATTATAGTTTCCTATGACCAAAATATTTCATTGATTTTTTTATGTATAAGATGGATCCCATGTCAGGCTGTGACATACGTCTCGTCTTGTGTTTACATTACCGCCCAGAGACAGTACACTGCAGTCCAAAAGATGCGTACACCTTTTAAATAACTTTCTTTGCATTATAACCTTGAGCTGGTCAAATGTTGGATCAGTTATTTAAATCTTTGTGATTCCATGATCTGATTCCCTGTTTTAAAGTTTTTCCATCACGCTGATTTAACAGTTTTCTGATTGTCCCATGCGAGCAATTCAAATTCGAAAAAACGGAGCACATCTAGTCCTGGTTAATGGTTAGTCAAGGGTGCCATTGAATTTCGAGTTCAGTCACTTAGCTTAGCTGGATATCAAACATAAATATTCCAACCTCTAGATGCTTACATACGTAAGTAGTAAGTGCTAATGGGGATCGTTTTGAGGTCCGTTTTTTTAATTTTCAAAGTTTTTAGACTTTTAAGGAGCTCCACGGGAATCTAAGATATGAAAAAAAAATTTTGATTTTAGGTAAAATCAATATTTAAAGGATACAGCTGTAAATCGGTCATGCCCCACTTTTTAAATGGTGGGTAACTCTAGACAGTCGACATTACATCCACATTTAACAGTCAAGAAATAAAGTATTCTAATATATTTTAGACTTTGCATAAATTACCTGTTCATAAAGCTTAAAAATTTGTGTAGACGCTGTTCTTAAAGATGTCACTGAAGGCCGGACAGAGAAAAAACGAATCAAGGAAGAAAAAGATTTTTAAATCAATCAATAAATTTTTTAACGACATTTCAACAAAATTTTATGTTTTTCCTCAATGATAATTTCTTTGTAAAGTTCTTCAAAGAAAGTGAAATATTTTATAAAATTATTTTTCCATGATGTAATGATATAATGTTTGACTCCATATATTTTACGATATTTGGAAGCACCATATAAACATGAGCAGCTAGCAATTATAGGGTTGCCTATAAAGGATTAGACTTCAGAGATGACTGTCCAGACCTTTTACTGTCCATTTCCTTATATTAATTATAAATTGTATTCTTTCTTTGCAAAATCATTAAAAATTGAAATTAAAAATTAAAAATTAAAATCATTGAAATGGCAAAAATAGATTGTGTATTGAAGACAAAAGTCTCCGATTAATCTAAATATCGTCAAATTAAAATAGTTTAAGAAAGTCTTTACAGTTTTTACAGTGCAAAGCTCTAATTTGGAAAAATTCACGATTTAATCATTTAAAAATAATTGTATAATAAGTTGAAAATTTACTGCAAATTGGTAATTTAGAATTGAGAAACAGAAAACTCTGGAATCGGAAGACGACTTTTAGACTAAAGATATCACTTTAAATAGTCGAATAAACATTAGACTCAGCAATTGTGCAGTGTAAACAGACCCATTTCGCCGAATAAGTGGTCTAATAAGTCACTTATAGTAAAACTATTTGTTTTGAGAAACATCAAGTACACTTGTTTATTGTATTATTGTCGTCTTCATATTCCAAAATTTTCTTGTGTACACTTTTCTTTAAATCTTTTTCTTTCAAGGATCCTTGTCGACCTTTGGGAATGATGGATAATATTACACTTTCATTAGGAATAGTATTCAGCAGATGTTATTGATTTCATCCATTTTATAGAATGGTAAAAGAAAATTTGTTTAGTATTTTTCGCAGACTTGCACGTTGATTTTTCAAAAGGTAATATTTAAGTTGTCTAAGTGCTTTCCAGACCCTTTAGCTCTTAGGCTGAGAATAAGAAATCTTGTAATTATTTACTTTATTAGATACTTAACAAGTAAGAAAGATACGGGAATTTTACTTTACCAAGGTTTCCCAAGAATAATTTTGTCTTTTGAGATGAAAATGCGCGAATTTATTTCCAAAAACTTCGCAGAGTTAGTGCTTTTTTACATAACTGTGACTTTAGAATTTACTTGACGTCCCTCTGTGATTTTTTCTTTATATTTTCTGATAAAATCATTATACGCATTACGCTTGACGAATTTAAATTCGATACAATAAACATTTTATTAAGAAATTATTTATGAATTTTGATATTTTCTTGAATATTTTAAATGTTAAAACTATGGAACAGATTTGGAAAATTACAACTTGACAGCTGAGCTTAAATCAAGATTGGAGGAACATCCAAATATTTATTTTTACGGAACAGGCAAGATCTTAAATACTTCTCTTCTACTTTAATAGTTGTTTTAAAGTGAAATTCGGTTTTATGGATTTTATCTGTTGGCCGTTAAACCAGCTGGATCTATGAGGCACACATTTTTTGTGGTAACTAAAATGGCCCCAAGGAAGGTTTACGGCGAGGAGAAAATTAAAAAATTTTGTCTTAACAAATGTCGATATAACCGTCTTTTTGTTAATACACCAATATAAACAGAAAAGAACGAGTGCTTGATACCACAATTACTATTATTTTTAAACTCCTATATCTTTGGAACCCGATGTCATAGACCCTTGATATTACAAACTATGTATTCATCAAAAAGTCTTGAAATGTCAAAGGGTTACACGATCAGGTTGCAAAGATACACGAACTTAGTTCCTTTATCAGTTAAAAAATATATGAAGAAAAAATGGAGGCTTCAAACTTGAAAAATTGGCGTGTTGCCATGAAAACGTATAATTAAATTTAATTAATTGAATAGTTTATTTTTCTGTCCTAGAAAGTATAATTGCATAACCATTTTAGGAACAATACAAAGAATAAAAGATCATTTTAATTGTATATTTGCACAATGACAAAAATAATTAAATGCAACAGAGTACTTTTCAATGGAAAATAAAGGTGTTAAAAAAAGTTAACAAAATTCAAACCAGATTCTTTCCAAATCAGACGATTTTTTATTTAAATTTTAGTTTAAAACTACTGGGTATAAGGCCATTTTTATGTCATGAATCTGACGGTTTATTTACTTCCTCTTCAATATTCCTTGATAGTCATACCACGAATACGAGTTCCCCACTTGGATATCGAGATCAAGTGTTAAAAAATAAATATCATCTTTTCTTTTCATGATCGCTCTTCATCAATACAAGTTCTGATTAAAAACATATAAAATTTCATTATTACGTGGAATCTACTTTAGTTTAGCGTGAGGCCGGGTTATGATTAAATAAATCAAATTAAATTTAAATAAATACGTTTTCTTTTTTTTCAGGAGACTGGGAATCATGTTATGCAGCATTAGAGAACTTTACTAAAATGGGAGAACAATTTCTTTCTTGTTCACAAGTATTATTATTACAATTATTATTATTATTTTATTATTATTATTATTATTTTATTATTATTATAATTATTAGTATTATCGTTATTATATTATCATTATTA